ACAGATTCGCCCATTGCTTCCTCTCATCTATTTCATTCACCTCCTCTCCACCATACTCGTTTGGGTCTTTCGATAAAGTCACGTAGGTAGAAAAAAAGTAAATAAAATAATAAAAATAAAATCTAAGGCCGTTTCGATCACAACACAAGCGATCGTCATCAGGAGGAATCGATCGCTTGTGTTGTGTTCGAAACGTCGTAGTTTTTATTTTATTTACTTTCATTATTTTTACTTTCATTATGTTTAAAATCACGACGTTTCGATCGCCCTCAGGTGAAAAAAAATATAGCAAGAGAGCTGCTGAAGCAGGCCTGAGATGGGTGCAGCCCAAGGGCAAGTGGCCGGGGTTAGAGAAGGAAGATCGAGGGCATCCCAAAGCTGTTGGGCAGGCCATTGTATTGGTGAGAGATTAGCAGCGTGTCAATGTAGCTACCGCCACATCGAGGCCTGAGATGGATGCAGCTCACTTACCCTTGCGCCTGATGGCTTTGTTCAACACGGTCGTTTTATTTTAGTTTGATGACAGCTTTTCTGAACACAAAGGCTTGGCTTCGAACAGGTTATTTTTTTCAGTGGGGTAATTTTTTTATGGAGGTAACGTTATTATGAGATTCCGCGTAGCAGCGGTGGATATTTTTTTTTATCAGTTAGTTTATTTTTTTTAAATCACCTATTCGGGCAGCTACGAAGCTGCATAAGATTATAATACAATGTAGATACAGGTAGTGAGTAAACGTAACGGCATCTCAAGACACCGGAAAACACGTTTGGCGGGATGCTTTTATTCCTAAAACTACACTAAATAAAATCCGTGTGGTTTTGTTTGCATTTATGCGTCGCGGTGCTGGCAGAGGATTGATGTTCGAACCAATATTGACATTAGACAGATTACATCACCTAGACCAGCGAAGCAGGAGGTACACGGTAAAACATTTTTTTAAAGTAAGGTGCGAGTGAAAACGCTTCGTAGATTTAACAAATGGGTGGTCACAGAGGAGGAAAATTAATTACTGGTTCTAACGCTATAATGAGATTCACGCTCTGACTCAAGGTAATCAGCTCTTCCCTTATGGCAATGAGGCTCTGAATACAATTATTTTCAGAGGAGTATTTGATTCTGGCTTTCACATTATGGGATTCTGGCTCTCACATTTATGGAATATTTTCTCTTGACTGGTATCGGAATTGTGCTCTGATTAGTATGGGATCCATGCATCATGTGCACTATTATGGACTGTTATGATACATATGATAGCGATGAAATTACGTGCAAAATCTTCAACACTTGTGGAGGGTCCCCTTTGACTCCTAAAATCAACTTAAACAAACAAATCTTGGTTTTTATTCGTGAATATATGGGAGGGTGAGTACAGGATTCATGTTTTGACAAGTATGAGATTCAGATAGATTACTTTAACAACGGATTTTGATTCTAAATGTGATTTGAACCCTCACTAAAGTGGAATTGATACAATGGTCCATACTCTTTGGTTCTTTCGGTAAAGTCACGTAGGTAAAAAAAAAAATAAAGTCACGTAGGTAAAAAATAAAACAACAAAAATCACGACGTTTCGGCCACAACACAAGCGGCCTTCATCAGGTGAAGGGACCAGACTGTCTCGAAGACTGCGCTGGAGTGAAACACAGTCAAGCTCAGACCGCGACCTTTAAGCTGTGTGAGAGTAATTAAGGTGCCTTGACAAAGGAATTAGCATGTAAATTTGCATTTTAATAGGCGGACTTAGCATGATGAAAGGTAGGGAGGGGGTCGACCTGTGCAGGCTGGCGAGGGGGCACGGCAGCGTCCACATGCTGGTGGTGTGAAAAGGGGATTTTAAGCTGCGAAAGTTTGGGGTACCACTACTTGAAAATATACTGTACCATTTAAAAATTAGTTTAATGTTTGGTTCGATTTAGAACATCTTTCCAATGGTTGCTTAATTTGAAACCATCTTCTCGGTTGAAATTGTGTCTGTGTTTGTAGATCTGAATTACCTCGTGAACAAATCTCTGATAGAAACCCGTGGGTTTGCAAAGAACCTTGGTATCGGAGAAAATTATATCGTGATCACCCACAGCGTTGTAACAGTGATCAGCTACGGCAGAAGAATTCGTTCTGCCGTGTTTCAAATCTGATTTGCAAACCCACGGGTTTCTATCAGAGATTTGTTGACGAGGCTATTTTTTATTTGCGGTTAAGCCATCGTCCCCACACACCGCTCGTATCAATGCGGATAAGAGGAGCGGCGACCCACTACTCTGTAGAGTAACATTGGTATAAACGCTTGTCACAGTATGAACAGCGCATTGAACACGCGTACTATTTTACGTACTGTTTACAAAGTGTGTTCACAAATCCACACTGAGAAACACGATGATGATGGACAGAGGGGTGTAAATATTTTTTTCGATCGTGTATTTAAATAGAGGTACTGCAAGTAAGTAGTTTTCAGTTTTAAAGGCATAGTTTAACAAGACAACACTTGCCACCATCCTTCAAACCAGGGGCGGAGCCAGGGGGGGGGGGGGGGGGGTGACAGGGGGGGTGACATTCTGCGTATAAGTGTACGACACTCGGTCTAGCGACCTCCGTGCAACTGCATTGTCAGAGTGTGTCGCCAACCGATGGCGTCTAGTTCAACAGCCCGACTCTCTAATCATTCTTGAAATTAACATTTGTTGAATGTCACCCCGGGCTGAAGATCCTGGCTCCGCCCCTGCCTCAAACCCATTGGTGAAAAAGAGAAAACTTTTTGTTTACATTATAATATGTTTACATTATATATAATATATAATATAATGTTTACATTATAATAGAATGTTTATGCGAGAACCGGGGGCTTATGGGACCCGGGGTCGTGCCATCAGGTTCAAATGTAGGAGTTCATAAACAGGTCCCTGCAGGGTGGGCTGGTAGGACAAGTCTCTGCGCTGTCTACTGCTGATTTTACACCCAACAGCACGAGATTTCACTTCGTTAAAGTATTGAAAGGGGACGGACGGACGGACACATTAATCTATTGCAGGCTGGTACACTCAGTTTACAACTTCGTTCCTACCAGTATAACTTATCTTAATGTTGCAGACAGCAGAGAGAAGTACAGCCAAAATCCACTGTCATCCCGTACTCCCATGCTCCCATGTCTACGTGCCCTACCGTCACCAACCAGTTAGCAGTGTGGGGGCTAATGCCCCCCCACTCCCCGCTATGTGGGGGTCGATCCCCCCCTCCCGCACCACGAGCGGGGGGGGGCACGTCTACTTGGTGGGGGCTGATGCCCTCCCCCCCACCCGCCATTGGGGGGGGTCACTCACCTCCTCCCCCTCCTCGCGCGGGGGGGGGGGGGTGGCGTTTGCCCCCCCGTCCCCTCCGCGTTTGTGTCGCTCGTGCCCCCCCGCCCGCCCCATCGATCGTGCCCCCCCCCCGTCCCAGGGTCCTCTCGAACCGACACAGCCAGCGGCTGTCCGACCCCGCCTAGGGGCTGATTACGCGCCGCGTGCCCCCCCCCCACTCGCGCGTCCTAACCGCGTGGATTACGTAATATTGTTTGACTCGCCGCTGTGTGGAGTTTAATTAATAATTTCCACTAAACCGTTGGGTCAACAAGGCGAACGCTCCCGCGCGGTCCGGATATTAATAAATAAATCGGAGCTCACGCGCCCCCCCCACCCACTCGTGTCTCACCGTGAACACTGCGGTGAGGCACGCACAGACACACGTGACACTCGCGCGTGTCTCACCGTTAACACTGTGATGCTCCTATAGACACGCGCTGGCGCGGGCCACCGTTGATATTTTAATATGCGCGCGCGTCACACCCACACTGATTTATAGTCACCCACACACCGTCGTACGCCGATCGCTGTCCCACCGCTCTTCACACGCACACATGCACCACGCGTCACAACGTCAGTCTGTGCTAAGATTTATTTACCGGAGCGAATAGGGGACCCCTGTTTATGGCCCCCTCCAGCCAGCACCCTTCGGACCGCGCCTAACCTCCTATCACCTGGCCGTCGCAGAGTGCGTCTATCCCCCAAGCTCGAGCTGACTGCGAGCTGGGCTGAATTGGCCCCCCCTTCCCCGTACCTACTCACCTCTTCAGCTGCCCGATGGGGGGCTGGGGAAGATGCTCGCCCTGGGGACTTTTTCTGGCCGATCGTTTCCAGCTCCACCCTGCATGCGCCGCAAGGACGCTGAGGACGGCTGGTCTCTTCCGCCGCTCCAGAAGAACTCTGATCCAATTTGCCCTCCTTCCCCCCTCATGTTCCCAAAGCCCGTTAATCCCCGGGTCTCCAGATGTCATCCTGCGCATCCAATCGAATCCTTTTGTCGGGCCGTTTGAGCGCTCTGGCCGTGGGGGGGGGGGGAGGGGGATGCGAGGAGAGGGTAGCGCCGGCCGAGTTGCTCCGCTGCGGTGGGCACCAACAGCAGCGTGGTCAAGCAGTGGCGGATCCAAGGGGAAGGAAATGGAGGGTGATCGCCCCCACCCCTCTTGAGACCCCCAAATTGGTATTCTATGGATATTTACCATCGAGAATACAATGTGTTTGTTCATTGACGTCGGGCCCTATTTTTTTAGACCGGCCTCCCCAACTTGAGTAGTTTCAGATCCACCTCTGTGGTCAAGTATGGCCTAACAACACGCTTTACTGCCATGGCATGTATATTTTTTTAGACCGGCCTCCCCACCTGAGTAGTTTCAGATCCACCTCTGTGGTCAAGTATGGCCTAACAACACGCTTTACTGCCATGGCATGTATATTCGTGCGCATGTTGAACTTCTTTCGAACCGTGCGTAGCAAACCGTGCGAACCGGAGGTTACGGCATGGGAAGGGGCCCTCGCCCAGAAGTGTTTGACAAAAAGGGCTGTGCATGTACGTGCACGTGCACTTTGCCTCGTGGTGGACAATCCTCGTTGAAAACATTTAATTTTCTTTACATTTTGCACTCCCCGAGTCTCAACACACCGAAGGCCGAGCCATAAGCGAGACAACGTAAGCACGATCTCAGTTTTATTTCACGAGTGCTGGCCTCTGCTAATTGCGGCCTTAATTGCACCGTGTATGGTCAGCATACTGTACTGTGAAACTTCATGATAAATAACCGTGTAAAAAAAAAATCCATGAATTCACATCCTTTATTTAAGCAGGTGAGAGCCCATTGATATTGTATGTACACAATTGCAACCGAGTAGTCAGTGGGTAGTTACGCTGCACTCTGCATCACTATGACGCCCTAGGCCTACAGCATGCAGATAATATGAAAGGCCCAACACCATAATTCATAGTGCATATACACGTACGTTACATTTCATAGTGCACACAGGGGCAAGGGCTGCACACACATAGTGAGACACGTTATAGGCTGTGAGGTTCAGTTTTCAATCGATTCTACATACCAAGGGCGCCTTCAAAACATCAGCCTCAAACAGGAAGGCCCCCTTATCCGTTAGACTGTCTTCTGCAGGGACACTTGGTGGTAGAGTGCATCACATTTTGATCCGAAATCTCTTTCGGCCATAATTTGCGAGTAAACAAAAAGGGCATGCGAATTGGCTACAGCATTACTAACTCACAACATTATTGGAAATGGCTTAAATTGCTCCTTGGGTTGTGCATCAAGAACTTGAGTTGATGAGACATCGATTTGATATCGGGAGAGAAAAGGTCAATCAATCAATATGGCAAGGTTCAAACTACACAGAGTAGTGATTAGCGTTTGGGTAAGCGCCCGGATGTGTTAGGGTCAGGCCAAAGACGTGCCTTGTTAAAGTTGACTGATAAAGGTTAGGCTTGTTAAGTGTCCTATTTATGGTGAAAGATGCCAGGCAAGGTTAAGACTAGGCGTGTTGGGGCTAGCAACATTTGAGAATGGGGTTTTATGGTTCAAGTTACATACCAGGCTTGCTGACGTTCAACTTGAACTCCCACACAAAAGTCTTTCTTAAAATTTACACCGAATCACCTTTTATCATTTCAGTTCCATTTATTTTATATGAACCTCTCATCAATTTGTCCAATTTTGGATTCTGTTGTAAGGTTTCGATAGTTATATTAAAGTTTCATACGAACATCAATTATTTAAAAGTTCACAACAAAAAAGCCACGAAAAAATGCCCCTTTTTTCCGACGTGGGATACTCCCGAGGCAAATTCTTTGCATGCACTGGGTGCATTCAGAAAATTTGCATTCGGCGGCATAGCTATTGAGTGGTACAATTGTAGCTGGGTCCACGGGTTGAAGGTGTGCAGGCGCTTGCCTACAATGAGTGAATGAAAAATTGGACAGGGGACCCCATTTCATTCCCATGTTAACCAAACTGCAACACGATCTGCACCAAGCCCTTACCCAAATCGTCATGTAATTGTGACACTTTGGGGTTGGGAGTCTAGCGCTGTGTAGAGCAGTAACGTGGAGCAATCGGAGAGTTATGGTCACAGGCTCGCACGACCATGTCTTACATTATTTAAAATGCTCAGCTAAAACACCTTAAAACATGAAAACAATGTCACTACCGTGTGGTGAATTCAACAACGATTCAGAGTAAAACTCAGCGCTGCTGTATTTTCCTTTCGTGGCTGCATAGGACTTGGTGTCGGGGCACTGGCGTAGCAGCCCCTTAATTCAGCAGTGGATTGAAATGGCTTTTAAAAAAAACATCCTGATGACGATCACTACCCCTTTGGCACTGCAGCACAACACCACAGCTTACCACAACCATCGTGGTGTTCATCAAGAGTCTTGTGTCGGGGATGACAACAATCCCATACAAGATGATAATCGCTTACAGCAGTGTTTGTGGCAACTGTCGCACTTTCCGGTAGGTGACTGGTGGCATAGTGGGTGAGCTTCATTTCGGTGGGCCCAACGAGGCCTGGTCGACAGTCAGATGTCATGAAAAACACTCATTCATTGGCCCCAAAAGCGCTCCAGTGGACCCATAGTTTGTTTAAAGATAAACCGTACTGGGCACTTCATGCTATACGATTTCATTTTTTATCAAATCTGTATAAGTTATAAAATGTAAACAATTTCTGCAAGGACGTTTAAAAATCAATATAGGGAATTGCCGAGTCCAAACGGTGTCACATCGAAATGCGTTGTGTGGTCTATTAACTTAAACCATAATCTTTCCAGAAGCATTGTGCAGGCTCTTGTCACCAATTCTCACTCCAGGTTTCTCATCCACTGCAATAGAAACGAAATGTGGCAAATGAATGCCCTACTTAGATCAGACGTCATGGATATAAAGGTCACTCGGACATGTGAATCAGATGGGACACAGATGACGTCATGGGAAGCAGTGCAAGGAGTAAGTGCAGCAGGCAGGAGGAAGGTGGAATTGTGATTAAAAAAATGGCACAGGGGAAGGTTCTGCGGAGCAAAAAAAAAACCTCAAATGCATTACGACAGGATAACCTGGAATGACGAGAGGAAGCTTGCTGTCAATCGGCCAACATCAAAAACCTCGATTCCTTTCATATTCACGTTGTACGATCACAGAAAGTAAGCGTTCGACATTCCACGTCCATTGATTGGTTCCTCTCCAGGGCCCGTCAGTTGATGTGAATCGCATTCCGGGGCAGCCTTTCTGGAATCTCCTGCCGGCGCCGGCGGGCTCGAATGTTCCGGTTGCGGCCCTTGCCGCGCCTGCCCGCACAGGGGCTGCTCCGGTGCTGCTGCAGGTGACCCCAGTAGCGGCGCAGCTCGGCCGGCGAGAACTGGTGCGACGTAACCAGGTGGCTGTACTTGCACGCCGAGTAGGACACCCGCCAGTGGTTGAAGAGAAACTCACTGGGCGGAGCGGTGGGCGTCACACGGAGTTTGGCCAAGCACAGCCCCACGTAGACGTCCTCCAAGTGCAGCCGCCGGATGGTGAGGGACACGCGGTAGACGCGAGCGGCCAGTGTGCCCGACAGAACGTAGCCGGTGCCCGAACAGAAAGTGGGGTACCTTTCCCCCGGGTACACCTCCACCGGCATGTACCATTTGCTCTCGGGATTGCGGTTCGGGGAGTAGCCGCGCATCAGGTAGCCCGTGAAGTAGTCAGGGAGCGAAGGCTGGTGGAGCTCTGGCTTGAGAACCGTGCTCACCAAAAACTCCACGTTTACAAACATATCGCTGTCGGTCTTCATGACGTAGGCCGCGTCAGAGCAGTGCTCCGACACCCAGTGGAGGCCCATCATGGTCTTTAGCGTCAGATTGTAGTAAGTGTCCACAAAGTTCTGTTGCAGGAGGTCCCCGTGACGACGGCTCTCTTCCTCGAGGAGCGACTGCACACGCAACGATCCTGCCTCCGCAGGCGCCGCTCCCAGCAGGAAGAGCCGTTTGATGACGATGCCCGGCACCAGACTCTCGTTCCCCCAGGTATCACGGATAGCCTGGCGGGCGTCGAGCTGCGCCGGCACGGAAGATATGAGGAGCACGAGAAAGGGGTGGCTCGGCATGCACTTGTTGGGCTCGTTGAGGATGTACGCAAAATTGTGGCTCTCCATCGGAACATCGTTGTCACCATCGGAGGCAGCGTGGGCGACAGAAAGGTTCTCGGCAAACTCCACGTGACCCATTGACACCAACCTGTGGACTGCTGGCCCAGACTTTGAGGCGTTCACCTTCACCGCAGTGGCCTTTGCATAAACGGGTTTTCCGTCGCCCGCGTAATTCGAACGCCCGTCTGTCCACTCCGAACGAGCCCGCAGCGTCCACGCTGCTAGCGCGTCGGTGTTTCGGCGCCGTGTAAACCCCCGCGCGCGGTAGAAGACGCCTCCGTCCTCCCCCACTAGCAGCGGCGGCTGGGGCTGTCGCTCACTCTCTCCGTAGTCTGGCGAAACCGGAGAAAAGGCAAAAGGGGCGGCGTGCCGCGAGCTTAGCCACTGCGGCGGGAAGGCGGAGAGGACGACGAAGAGGCAGAAGATGCTGAAGGGCCCGACGAGGTGCGAGCGGCACCCGAGGTGGCCGCGTTTCACTGACCAAGGAGGCCGCAGGAACCGCACCGGGCGGTATTTGCGTACCGGCATGGCCAAGCAGGGCCCTCAAATGCACGCGTGCGTTCCGGTATCGAGCGCCTCGGTCACGCGCTCCGTCGCCTTAGTGGCGCTCTGGTGGGACGAGCTGCTCCAGAAACAAGTCGAGTGGTCCCCCCTCGCTTGTCTTCGAAGTCGATTGAATACAAGCCATTGGTTGGCCCTTCCTTCGCATTCACGGCCGAATGTCTCCTTGGTCGGACTGTCGAAGCAAGAGCGCTAGTTGAGAGATGACATCCCTTCTGCTTGTGGGAGGAGGCTATTGTTGTTGTGATAGGACAATTCGGAGGCAGGTGCATGAGAGAGTTCATCTTTTGGTTGGCCGGATTGATGAATATTGTCTTTTGAGTGCATGTAAAAGAAAGTGCACGCTTTTATAAGACTCTACCATTGGACAAAGGTCACACGCCAGTGCACAGGCATGCTACAGCAGCTGCATTGCAGCCATTCCATTTTTTTACCTTGAATGTATTGTAAGGGATGGAATTTTGTGACCTCCGACGATTTGAGTTCACATTTCACCCCCGGGCAGTAGCATCCCTATTTCAGTCTTACTTTGAGCCTCACATTTGCTTCCGATAATTTCCTTTGTTGTCAGTTATATTCAGCAGCTCCAAACCTCCGACTCTATTGCCCGCGTATGCTGCTCATTCCTCGTTGAGACGTCCTGGAGGACTTGGTCATCGTTCAACCTGGAAATGAGATTCATTCGTCAATAACATGTTAGTCTCGATCTTTATTCTTTGTGACTCCCTAAGTCAGCTTGGTGAACGTGTTCATTCATTCACTTCATTATTCACGTGTGTTTTTCGGTGTGCGTGCATGTACTGGAATCCCCCGCTGTGCGTAAAGCGATGCGTTCCTGGGAAATGTCACTTGACCCGAAATCACTTAAAGCGATCTTTAATTTCCCATTTACATAATGTTAAAATCAGGGGTTGCGTTCCTGGCCCACTTTTATGGGAAACAAATGCGTGACTAAAACTAACGAAGTGTACAAAAATGCACATGATTATAAGTTAACATACATTTTAACGAATAATAATTAACAAATAATTAGATAAATCATACAAAGGATGGTTTGCAGAGCTTCGCTGATTTTTATCTTCAATCCAGACACTTAAAAGTCTTTCCTTAACTGCTATGCGAGTTTCACAGCTGCTATATGACTTGTTTTAGTGGCAGTCAAAGGTGCCACATTTTGAGCACATTCGAGAATGTTTTCCGCAATAACACGAGTCGTTCTCGCCGAGGTCAAGCATTCTGGCAATATTCATATTCTTAGCTTCTTTCGGTAAAGTCACGTTGAAGGGAAACAATAAAACAATAAAGTATATATAAAACAATAAAAATTCTCACGACGTTTCGACCATAACACAAACGGTCGTCATCAGGTGTGTCGGTTTACATTAATTTATATTTTTTCAAACGGTGCATTTATTTATTTATTTTAAATACGTCAGCGCCACGCGCAGCGATTTGGCGGTTTATATTGACTGCCTTATTACCTGCTCCAAAACGCCCCGCAACTTCGAATTTAACCTCTCGATTAATACATCTCCTTTGCATTTTCTCTCCAGAGGCACTATCATCATTTACTGTGCGTTTTGCACCGATCTTTCTAATCCCTTGGTACTCTGTTAAAACTACCGCCTCACGGCTCTATCCCTACCACCTTAACACGCGCCCAGCTATCGCACGACACGACGGGCTGGCAGACGGAGGCTGAACACGCGGCAAAGGGATCTTCGTTAGTACAAGCTACGCGCTTTACGTCAACAAAATAGAGCCCGTTTTTACCTGCGTTCCAAGTGAAGATTTAAGAAAAATATTGCGCATTTTTTTTAAACGTAGGGCAAAGAATTACACTTAAAAGGAAATATGTTCCCTCACGAATTGGCAAGGGGCCGTCCATAAATGACGTCACGCGATTCTGGACGATTTTTTACTCCCTCACACGGCGTCACAAAAAGTCAGACACCCTCCCTCAAATATGACGTCACAAAGCTCTGCCCCCCCCCTAAAAAAAAAATATATGCTTCAAATCGCTTTAACCTATTGTTATTGTAGTTGCGTATTTAATGTGGCGCTGCACTCTGATGTTGTAGGAGAAAACATTTAGTAAAAGATGTATTTAATTAAGTAGAACGTGTTGTCTATATTTATTTAAAGTTGCGCATTTTTACGTGACGTCACATTTCTCAACCCCCCCACCCCCCATCGTCACACATCGTCACAAATATCTGACCCCCCCCACCCCCCCCCCCCCAGGTGCGTGACGTCATTCATGGACGGCCCCCAACGCATACGCGAAACAACGCATAATGCGGCAACTTATAGCGGGGAGTGCCTGTAAACCGGCGTATTGTGCCACTATGCATACGTGTAATTTTCCTTTTGACTCGCATGGTGTCTGCAGGTGTTCGTGTGTCTGCGTGTTGCGCGATAACGCGTGCAGGTGGTGGGCGCATTGGTTGGTGCACTGCCCTGCGTACGCTGGCGACCCCAAATTTGATTGCCGGCCACAGTCAACATCGCTCGACAGCTATATCTGAACCGGTCCTGGGGCCTCCCCCCCCCCGAGGTCGATGAACGCCTTAAATATGCACCTGATCGCGTGTCGAAACACAAACACTGGGAATACAAAGGGCAGCGCAGCGCGCGCAATTCGTTTTATTTATTTCCCACTCGATATTTTTTGTTCTTAACGGCTGGTGTTGGCGGCTGGCTCGGAGTAGCGATTGTTAGCGTAGGGTACTACCGCTGGAATACAACGCATGCCCAATCCCATTTTAAGGTTGGATCACTGTTCCAAGGCACATCTGGTAAACATAAGCGCTTATTCGCGCATCATTTTTGGTCACCTACACGCACACATCCGCGGCACCATGAGGACAAAAAAAAAATTAGGAATCAGAATATTTATCGTGGAAGAATCCGACGAGCCACGAGGCTCATTTCTCACGGATGAGATATGTCAACACGATACCCGCAACTATTCCTGCCTAAAATCAAGAAGCACTGATCGTGATCAGGAATCGAGCCGAGATGGCCGCAAGCCGATACGCTTTCTTCACCACCTTGCCTTGGCGAGCCTTTAATAGGCGCTAACCTTTGCTCGGCTTTTGCTGATTATTCACAAAGCGTCGTGAAGGTCGACAGGTCTCTGGGCGGGTGTGTGTGTGTGTTTTTTTGTCTTCGTGATAGGGGGGACGACGTAGCGCCTTGGCTAGCACGCTTGCGCCATTGAGCCCCCGTGCCAGCCGAGTTCGATTCCCGCTCACGGCCAACACCAGTGATGACAATTGGAATCAGTCGGAAGCCACCACGCCTAGGTCGACTCAGCCCCAAATGAGCACCTGGCACAGTGCGGAAACATCGCCACCGGGGAGACAAAAGCGGCCGGGCCTGGCGGTAGCCGCACCATGCCCTAAGTGTGTCGCGACGCTCCTTCGAAGGCTGCTCCGCTAACAGCACTTGCCTCCCCCCCCCCCCAAAAAACCAATATCTATCAAGGCTATATGGGGGACCTTTGGCTGTGTGCGCGCATGTGTGCCAGCGCGTGACTGAACGCCTCACCACCAGCACCACCATCAATCCCGCCCGTGTGCCCGTGACGCAGCATCTGACACATTGTTAATGAAAAGGATCCTGACACGCTTCCGGGCTTAATTGAGGGTTAGGGGTCCACGCCCGGGATAGCGAGCCTGTTGGTGGTGGCTGATGTTTGATGTTTCGAGGTCGCGAGGCTGTCATTCCTTAGTAATACTAATTTAGCACTTTGGTGTGATCACGGCCGCGTCACGAGGACGCTGTGTTTCACAGACCGATATAGGCTGCTAGCAGGGGAGGCGATGTTGCTATGCGGTTTTAACCAATTAAGTAATCTGCAGTATTTATTTAAACACCGACACCCACGGCCTGCGCTTTTTTTGGATCACGTCACTGATTCCGTTAACGTCCACTCGATGGCGTGGTTAACTGCGGCACCACCTTGCAGCGATAACCAGGGCGGCCTTTGGGGTTCGAACCACGGACGCCTGCAACAAGCAAGAAACGTTGCTGCCACTCGTTCATATCACCGCCGTTGTACAACAGATGCTGCCCTATTCATACCCAGATTGCGCCGATAGAGTCCTATTTATCTCGCAGGCTGATCTGCAGGGGCTACATCCTCGGCATATAACGGTGCAGCAACATTCGAGTGTTGGGCCGTGCTGTTACGTGTTCGTGACCCCCAACGTGACCACGCGTCTCCCCGCAGGTGCTCGGGATCAATGCGTTCCACCGATCGCACACCTGGTTAAATGCACGAATTAATTAATTGCCACGTGTGGATTGGTTTTGTTGCCACGACTCGCCCGTTGGCTCCTGCAGACAAATGAAACGTCTGATTGCCAGGAAGTGATGAATGAATGCAGCAAAGCGGATCTCGTGCATGGCACACAGGTTACAGCATACGATATACACACACACACAATGCACTCACACGTACATCACTCACACACTAATACATACATCCATCATATATACAAGTACACACACAGGACACCCATACATACGTCACTCATATGCAGTGCACACACACAGTACCCTCATGCATCGATCATACATACATCACTCATATACAACACACACACATGTATACATACATCACTCATACACAACGCACACACAATACACTCATACATCACTCACACAATGCACTAATACATACTGTATATTAATACACTAATACATACGCAGTACGTACATAAGTAAATTCTCATATGCATACAGATATAGTTCATACATACACCCATCTATACATACTTTAATACGTACACTCAGACATGTATTGCTATCTGCTTTATAACCGATCCCTCCACTTTTCAATGTAACTATCCATAACTCAGAATCAACCAGATTATTTGTTTATACTGGATGAATCCGATGAGCTATGAAGCTCTTTTTCACAGATGCCAGTTCAGTAGCGCATTGATCACAACTGCTGTTGATGATGATGACATTCAAACATACAACTTACACTTACAGTACTGAAATACAAACGTTTATACATGCACTCAGATACACCATCAAGACAAAGACAAACAACACCCGTTATAGCCTTAACAGACTGCTGGGGTAAGTGCTGTTAGCGAGCACCAATGAAGGCCGGAACGGCACACGAGGGCGTGGGTGTCCAGCCCCAAGCCCGGCCGCATTTGTCTCCCTCGTGGCGATGTTTTACACACCGCACCAGGTGCTCATTTGAGGCTGAGTCGACCCAGGGGAGCACCAGGACCGGTACAGATAATCGTCACTGGTGTTGGTGGCCATGAGCGGGAATCGAACCCGGGACGCCGCGTTCCTTGCACAGCGAGCTGACCACTACGCCGACCGCTCCTCGTAACAATTTTAATGTATAAAGCGCCCTTAAACAATCATCATACATATCGGTACTGTGCATACACATGAACAATGGAGTTCACCTCCTCGATCTATGGACGGTGCGTGCCACTGATCAATAGAGCCCTCGACTCACAATTATAATGGTACGAGTTAAAATCCAGGTCAGTAGTTCACTCAACCCATCACTCCCTCGGGCTCGAGTAAATCAACACTATATTGTGGTAAGTCAATAGTGGCTGCCCTCCAGCCAGAATAGCTTATCGCTCGCCATAGTAATGTGGAATTTCCACCGCTGACTTAGGACTGTAAAAAAAACAGATAAGCGCCGCTCCCCGCTCATTGGAGCTGGAATCCACTTGGACTCGTTTTACCTTCACGATTTCATGGCAATGCATCATCGCTTGCGGTGCTCCGTCAATCCAACGCTGGGTGGTGGATGAAGAAAGACCTCTACACGCCGTATCGGTCATGAGGAATACTCGCCCATGCCTCACAAAGATAAAGAGCCCCCGACTGTTGGGGACAATCGCTGTCAGCGTTATGCTTCGACACGCCAGTGGACACGGTCATTGGTAACCTAAAACTAAACTATGAACTATTTTATTTATTTTATTTGACCAGACAAAGCCTACTGAGCTCCTCCATAGGCGTCTTTCTCAGAAGCGGCCTGGCACACTAATGGATAGCTCAAAGCAGTGGTACATCGCGTGCCATTTATAGAAGCCATATCCTCTAAATGCCTGCTGTTGATTCTAAATGTGGATGGAAACTCAAGAGGACCCGGACGGAAATCGAAGCGACTATGGGAATAGAGACACCGCAAACTTTAAATATACAGCAGGCGTCAGGGTGGGGGGGGGGGGGGGGGGGGGTCGACCCCACAACCTCCTGTATACCAGGCGAGGTAGTTAACATCTCGCCACCGTGGCGCGCGCTAACATGCTCAATACGGTACTATATATCGACTTACCACAATGCCATGCTATCGCTGTGCATTTTCATTGCTATTCACATGACGTACACAACAGCACGTGCGCAACAATACAATAGGGAACACACATTGTGTACAACATAGACACGTGCTTACATCGTAACGTAGACCGAATGGCTCTTGTAGATGTTATGCATAATATGGACGGGTAGACGTTTGCAGGCTGATTTTGCGTTATTACACAATAAATAAGCAGACGATGTTGTGACTCCTTTCATACGGATGCGTCTCTCCACATGAAAGAACAACAACTACAACAACAACAACAACATTATAAAGTTATTTGTTTTCGACATACCCCCCCCAATCTGATCTCCTCGAGCCATCCGGGAGTGCGTAATGTCAGCGGCATTGGTCCGGCACAGGCAAAATTCCGGTGCGGGTTCGACATTGCACGTATCAGCGAGGTTATTACATCAGAAATAGCACAGATATAAGGGTGTCGCAAATACGGTCGGATGTCGACGAGTTGCCGCACGCACGCACGCACGCCTCGACTGTCGCGATTCTCCGCTGTGCGGTGGTAAACGTCGAGCCTCAAGGAAACGTCTCCTGATGTCTCCAAAAGCAGCCTCCTCGACCAGCGTCCATTCCCCCTCCTCGGCCGCAGCTCCCACGAGATATGGAAACGTCGTGAAGGAGCTTGGTTAGCAGCGCGTGCGAGAGTCCGCTTCAAGGTCTATGTGTTTTTTTATCGAGACGGTACGTTGAACTTCTTTTGGCACCGCACATAACCAACGGCGCCAATCGGAGGTGCGGCATTCGCTTCAATAGCAACCATCCCATCCGAGCGATGCCATCCACCCATCGGACACCATCACGAAACCCACGATAAACTGCTATTATTGACTTGGACTTGCCGCTGCTCCGTTGTGACATTCGCTCGGCTGAGGACAGAACGGAGTTGTTCATTTGCAGCCACGGTGGCCTGCAACAGTCTCTGGCCAAACGGAGTGCGGTCCAGCCATGACAATGAGCCATTTTAAGAATTTAGAATCTTTATTTAGACCACAGGAATTTTTGTTTTTATAGATGTCCAATATGGGCGGGTCAGCGAGTTACAAACAGCAAATAATACCCAAAAAACTGATAGGAGTGAAAAAAAAATTGAAAATGGTATGCAAGTAACTAAATATAAATACGTAATAAATTAATGATATAAGTCCCATTTATCAAGATTTGGCAAGGCAACAAAAAACAACAACAACAACAAAACTGTCCCAGACCACAACATTCCCTCAATAAACGGCACATGAACATTGAACTATCGATACACAGGTAACGATGAAGGTTACAAATCACATTTCCAAATGTGACTGTATCCAGCACTAATCGGACCGGACGCAAGAAATATATTTTTTTCTTTTGCTCCGCACGTTAAGTTACATTTTCTCAGAGCCAACCGCGCTTCCCGTTTTTTTTTTGCTGATTATGGCGCGTTATAAATCTTGGATTGAGAGAGATATAACTAGATACAGTGTCTCATCAACAGTCAGGCGAGCTTGAATCGATACTGGTGAACTGCCAAATGTTACAGGGCAGGGACGTTCTCTCCGTACGATATGGGTGCTGGTTCAACGAAACACATATGTAAATACTTAACACAAAATAGTCGTTTGCGTCCTTGTGAAGAATATCATCACAAATTAGACAAGCAGATAATGTCACCTTTATACATCTGTCCACATTAAATTAAGTTACCGCATTTTTTTTCAACAACCTATTGCCTCACCCCAAATTAAGCACTCCCAGAGGACCCACGGATTGTCTAAACATACAGGACGTGGTTATTGGCCACGCGGAGGGACAAGATGTGCGAAGAAATTAATTGGTGGCGCTTCAAGCTGAGTTGGCTGTGCGTGCACAACAAAGTGAACGCCTTCGTCAATAACACACCACCGCTCGTGTAGAAGACACGACTTACACATCATAATTCTCTTCGGGGCACCCATTGGTGTAACGTTGCAGTCGCCAACTCTTATTCCCCACACCGTCTCTCTGGCGTCTCCATTAATGTGCACTGAGAAAGGGCCATTGCCCAAAACGTCACCCGTTATATATGCGTTTCTTTTGTAGACATGTGAAGGAGACATTGTGTGCTCATCTATTTATATATATGTTCTGTGTGTTTTCGACAGCTACACTGACGATGATTGGGCATTACGTTAGCGCACACACCGACAAAGATTTACGGCCTCGTTTTAGTAGAACACTCTGATGGGAGAGAGCTGTTAGCGAGCTCCTATCAAGACCGGCACGGTTTGGGTCAGCGCCACGCACACGACCGGGCCGCCTTTGTCTCCCCATTGCTGATGTCCACGGCAATGTCGCACCAAGTTGCCTATATTTGGCTGAGTCGGGCTAAGGAACACCTCGGCATAGCTCGCATATACCGTAACTAATTTGTATTGCCGAGTGTTTGTGGAGACTCGTGTGCCGGTATCGAACTCCGATTAAATTAGTGATGTGGACTAATTACTGTCACAGTGACCTTTATGATTACACGCGCGCTGTGCAGCCCACACACAGGACCCTCCTGGAAACGAGACTTCAACCTTGGCGAGGGCTTTCCACAGTAAAACAAAAAATTAGATACACATCAGTTCAGTTCAGTTTATTTTCGTATAGCCCTAAGAGCCATTCAGCTCTTGAATCGGGTGCAACCACAACAAACAAAAAAACAAAAACACGAACAAGAAACACACACATGCACTGCTGAATGAACAACTCCCTCAATCCCATCGCCATCCCTCACTATGATAAAAACAAACACGAGAGGCAGAGAGGAGCAACACAATACATTTGTTGAAGATATCATAGAGGCAATGGGCGCAATCAAAGATGCCCCTTATAGCCTTGTCAAGACTGTTGGGGTAAATGCTGTTAAGGAGCACCTATGAAGGCCGGCACGGCACACGAGGGGCTGGGTGGTCAGCACCATGCCCGGCCGTCTTCGTCTCCCTAGTGGCGATGTTTACATACCGCACAAAGTATTCATTTGAGGCTGAGTGGACCTAGGGGAGTTCCAGGACCGGGTCACATAATCGTCAAGTGTGGTGGCCGTGAGCGCGAATCCGAACCCGGGCCGCCTGGTTCGTTTGTGCAGCGCGCTAACCGCTACACTACCGCTGCCCAGCGATACACATGCATACACATACACATGAAATAACCGTGTATATGTGCTATAAAGAAGGGCCATTGCCCGAAACGTCACCTACCATGTTTTTTTGTTTGTTATTTCTGCTTCTGCATTACTGGCAACGTGGTAGCACCAACTGTTTTGTTTACAATTATGAAATGCGAATACAGTACTGCACATACACACACGTATACAGATTAAAAAAACACACACACACACACAATGCAATGAACATAACTGGATGTGGATATGCGAATTGCAACAACAAAAAAGCCACGTACTATTCCGCGTCTTTTTTCAACGTAGATTGACGATTGTTTGTGCAATTGAAATGACATCTCGCGCACACACTCGCACGCATTAAAGCGCGGGGGAATGTAAACACAGGGCCACCGTGTAGATGCGCTGGGCGAGATAACGGCGGACACGGAACGCTCCATCAGCAGCCACGCTCGTTCATACACAACTCGCGTAACCTCGCAGCTCCTTGGACGAGCGCTGTCAGCGAGCAGCACCTATGACGGCCGTCACGGTACACGAGGGCGTGGGTGGCCAGCACCACCCTCGGCCGCCTTTGTCTCCTGAGTGAGCGATGTTTACACGTCGCTCCATGTGCTAATTTTTGCCTAAATCGACCGAGGTGAAGACCCAAGACTGCTTCAGATATTCTTCATCGGTGTTGGCCGTGAGCGGGGATAGAACCGGGGTTCTATTCCCCCGAACGCACGCACACACACACACACACGGAACGCCTGTCTCTCGCATCCCTCTGTGACCAAGCACGCAAGCGAGGCACGCTCGATCATCGCTCCACGCGGAGCCGTAGAGGCCAAGCAATGCGATTCGTGCGTGCGGCGGCGCGAGCGATGGTGATGCTGTCCATGGTGGTGGTGATGATGATGATAATGGTGTGTGATGATGTGGTGATGTGCGGAGGTGCAGAGAGGATGAGTTGGGTCACCTCTGTGTCGCGTCGATCTCTTCCTCCCGTGCCTCTTCTTTTTAACAGCCGGGGGCATCGTCCCACGAATTTTGGTCAAGCGCCGTCCGTGATTTTATTAAAAAATATATATATATACACGTGCGTTCCCTTCTTCTTTCTTAGGAGAGGAATTCTCAAATCGCGCCGCTGCTGATGCCACGAAATCCGCCAGCTCGTTGCCACGGAATAAACACCCCCACCACAAAAAACCGCACCGCCACCACATCTGCTGCAGTGGCTCTCTGCACAGTGGCCCAGATGTCATTTAATTCATTCATATATAACACACGCGCGCACCCGCACGCACTGTATATGACAAACCCATAAATTCCCGTGTGCGGTCTCATTCGACCCAGACAATGAATGCTTCCATGGGCGCGCAACGTTCACGCGAACGCCGGCAAAATAAAATATTGATTACATTGTTGTTATTGTTTTCTCACCCCGTGAAAATGGTAATGCCACGAAAATGACGCCCCGGCTACACGAGGCGGGGATGGCTGCCGGGAGCCGACTGTGTCCCCCTGCCCCACCACGTTGCGACGTCCCGGACGTTTGTAGGGATTATTTCATTTTATTCCTCTTCCACTCTGCTGCCGGGATGAGAAATTGAGCTTTCTCGCTCTCTTCTCCTCCGTAGCGGCGCGGCGCGCCTCCATGCCGAATGCCCCTCCTCGCCTCGATCCGCCGTTCATGTTCCGCTCCTCCTCCTCCGCCGCGTGCGTGCGTGCGGGGATGTTGTGCGCGTAGGGAGCGGTGGGGTTGTGGTTAGCGCAATGCGAAACGCGCTCACGACCGACATCGGTGGCGGTGGATATCTGAACCGGTTCTGGGCCTCCTCTGGGGGGGCAGGGGGGTTTGACAGCCTCAAATTAGTATCTGGTGCGATGCAAAATACATTAGCACCGGGGAGACAAAGGCGGCCGGGGCGTTGTGATGACCCACCCACCCCCTCGTGCATGTGTCGGTCTCCATAGGTGCTCGCTAACAACACTCGCCCCCAAAAGCATGAACACGTTTGTTGTTGTTGTAAAAAGGATATTTGTCTTTGTGGGATGCATATGCGTACGTGGTGTGTGTGTGTGACGTGAGAATGGAATGTGCCTTATATGACGTGTCCACGTGTGATGCGTGAACGTGTGTGGATTATCACCTTCGTGGGTGTGAGTCTCTTGTGGGTAATCTGTGCGTGTCGCATGCATTGTGTGTTGTTGTTGTTGCGTGGAGTGGTTCTTGGCCACAATGAACGCTTTAAGGCGCTTGCGAACAGGATTTTCCCCATCAGTCTATATAGGCTAAAATGGGTATCTGCCTCTTTGCACATATTCTGCATTTGCGTTTGACCCTGTTTAGTAATGGTATGCGTGTGGTCTCTGTGTACATAGAGTACAGTATACGTATAAATACATAATGGTGCAAAACCATGTGCGTTCCCTTTATAATGGTGTAGCGGCTTCCTGTGTGAGTGTGAGTATGTAAGGTTTGATATGACAATCTATACTCAATGTTAATACTGCACACACACACAGACACAGCAGGCGAGCACACACAGCTGCGAATGAATGACCATGGAATTCACCTGCGTGTTGCAATATTCTAATATTCTACACCTACAGTGAGGGTAAAAAAGTATTTGATCCCCTGCTGATTTTGTACGTTTGCCCACTGACAAAGAAATTATCAGTCTATAATTTTAATTGTTAGGTTTATTTGAACAGTGAGAGACAGAATAAGAACAAAAAAATCCAGAAAAACGCATGTCAAAAATGTTATAAATTGAATTGCATTTTAATGAGGGAAATAAGTATTTGACCCCTCTGCAAAACATGACTTAGAACTTGGTGGCAAAACCCTTGTTGGCAATCACAGAGGTCAGACGTTTCTTGTAGTTGGCCACGAGGTTTGCACACATCTCAGGAGGGATTTTGTCCCACTCCTCTTTGCAGATCTTCTCCAAGTTATTAAGGTTTCGAGGCTGACGTTTGGCAACTCGAACCTTCAGCTCCCTCCACAGATTTTCTATAGGATCAAAGTCTGGAGACTGGCTAGGCCACTCCAGGACCTTAATGTGCTTCTTCTTGAGCCACTCCTTTGTTGCCTTGGCCGTGTGTTTTGGGTCATTGTCATGCTGGAATACCCATCCACGACCCATTTTCAATGCCCTGGCTGAGGGAAGGAGGTTCTCACCCAAGATTTGACGGTATATGGCCCCGTCCATCGTCCCATTGATGCGGTGAAGTTGTCCTGTCCCCTTAGCAGAAAAACACCCCCAAAGCATAATGTTTCCACCTCCATGTTTGACGGTGGGGATGGTGTTCTTGGGGTCATAGGCAGCATTCCTCCTCCTCCAAACACGGCGAGTTGAGTTGATGCCAAAAAGCTCCATTTTGGTCTCATCTGACCACAACACTTTCACCCAGTTGTCCTCTGAATCATTCAGATGTTCATTGGCAAACTTCAGACGGGCATGTATATGTGCTTTCTTGAGCAGGGGGACCTTGTGGGCGCTGCAGGATTTCAGTCCTTCACGGCGTAGTGTGTTACCAATTGTTTTCTTGGTGACTATGGTCCCAGCTACCCTTGAGATCATTGACAAGAACCTCCCGTGTAGTTCTGGGCTGATTCCTCACCGTTCTCATGATCATTGCAACTCCACGAGGTGAGATTTTGCATGGAGCCCCAGGCCGAGGGAGATTGACAGTTCTTTTGTGTTTCTTCCATTTGCGAATAATCGCATCAACTGTTGTCACAATTCTCTACAAGCTGCTTGGCAATGGTCTTGTAGCCCATCCTAGCCTTGTGTAGGTCTACAATCGTGTCCCTGACATCCTTGGAGAGCTCTTTGGTCTTGGCCATGGTGGAGAGTTTGGACCCTGATTGATTGCTTCTGTGGACAGGTTTCTTTTATACAGGCAACAAGCTGAGATTAGGAGCACTCCCTTTAAGAGTTTGCTCCTAATCTCAGCTCGTTACCTGTATAAAAGACACCTGGGAGCCAGAAATCTTTCTGATTGAGAGGGGGTCAAATACTTATTTCCCTCATTAAAATGCAATTCAATTTATAACATTTTTGACATGCGTTTTTGCTAGATTTTGTTGTTGTTATTCTGTCTCGCACTGTTCAAATAAACCCACCATTAAAATTATAGACTGATCATTTCTTTGTCAGTGGGCAAACGTAGAAAATCAGCAGGGGATCAAATACTTGTTTTTTCCCTCACTGTATATGGTGATGCGGGTACACGTGCGGCGATGGGACCCGCCTGTATTCCTGCACCATGGACGCAGCGAGGATTAGTGGATCAACATGCGGCAATAATTTTTAACACGTAGGTGTTCGCGACTAATATCAACCATAACAGTTTTTTTGGGTTAGATCGTGTACATATATAAATGTGTCGTTAAACCCGCCACCACCCGACACAGCCAATTACTAAGGTTTGTCACGTAAACAGAATATAAGGAACGAAACGGGAGGCGTTATCCACAAATCTGGCTGTCGCCTGACGAAGCTAATTGTAATTACTGGTGAAACGTCCTTACTTAGATTGTAAATGTTGTGGCTTTGCTCTCCAACACACCGGTGTGATGTACTAGTAGCGAATTGGCAGGTTCTGTTTACGTCAGAAACCGTACTAATTGGCTGTTTCGGGTGGTGGCGGGTTTAACGACACATTCATATATATAGGCGATCGAACCCAAAGATAACCTCTTATGGATGTCGTGAGACTCCCTTTACCGTGGACATCGAGGAGCAATACCCTGGTGCGCCAGCAGAACGCAGTACAGAGGCGTGTTTACTGGTATGTACGCATGTTTAACTTATTTCGCACCGTACGTAGCCACCCGTGCGATCATCCGTCCCTTCTGTATGGCATCGAGTGTTGCTCCCTCGCATGCGTGGGGTTTCTCCGGGTGCTCCGGTGTCCTCCCACAACGAAAGGGATGAAAATATTCTTAATCGAGAACTGCAGACCAATTGTTGGAGCCACCTCACTGCCTATCAGTCAGCCTTTCACATTTTCTGTGGTTCATCAGCGATTGCGAGACGCTATATGAACGTAATAATTATATATATTTTTAAATGTTCACAAACATCAGTCATGGTCTATACACCGCCGACTTCTACGATCTCGCGAAGTTAATAATAACCCACAGAGAACCTGCACATGAGAGCTGATTCCAGAGCTCCGTCTCGTCTGTGGATGTCCCCACGGACGCGTTTCATTCCTCGCCTGTCACTCCGTCATTACCCTTTTGACCATTGCGCCCCATTGGTTATTTAATAATGCAAAAAAGCTAAGAAAATCACAACTCCGCCTTTTCCACACGTAAATTAAAAATAAACCAACAACATTCTTGCTGCGTCCAAACCAATATCGACATTTATAATGCAGCGATGTGTTTACGTTTTGCTCCCCATGTCATCTCTGTGCTCATGATAAAACAGTCGCGACCGTACGCTGTTACAGACGCTGTGAAGCCGTGGTCTGTGTGAAACGTGTGCATGTGTGGGGACTGTCAAATATAATTACGATGTAATAATTCACGGCCCTTTGTCAAACCACTGTTGGATGAAGGTCTCCCCACGCCGTGTCGGCGTGGGGATTTCGGGACGATACTTCGCCACGTGTGGGTTGGTGACGGTGGGGGGTGGGGGGGGTGGCGAAATCCTAGGACTCGTTCAGATATGTATGTCAAACTTCTTTCGCGCCGTACGTAAGCCAACCCTGCTAATCGAAGGCGCGGGGGAAGAACAACAAACTAAACACAAGAAGCAGTTCTAAAGAAATTAGTTTTCAATCCAGTGGCTTCCTGATATCAGAAGGAAGAGTGTTCCAGACGGTCGCAGAAGCCCATCATTGTTCAATGGCCAACCAGTGCCGGATTATCCTCGTAGCAAAAGTAGCTACATATGCTGCGGGCTCAGCACTTTCAATTCCGGTTCAGTCATTCTGCACTTGCTCTATAACGATAGTACTATACCGCCTTCACCATTTTAACGAGCGACTCGGTGTTATCTGGCTGTATAGCCGATGAAAAAATACAAGAACTTTACTATGCAAGTTAAACATTTGTGTTTTAATATTTGTGTATTTGTCGATGTAGGGCCCCCTTATAACATAAGCTACAGGCCCCGCACGAGCTTAGTCCGGCAAAGTGGCCAGCCAAAAGCCGCTGCTGCTGCGAGGATGGCCGGAGTTCTCGTCACGGTTTATGAAGCTTTACGAGGTCGACAAGGGTATTGTAGTTCATTTGCGGCACGCACTTTGTGTGTGATGAGTGCCGACACCACTACGCATTCGTTCGGCAACCGGATGCGAGCACGGGACAGACCTGGTCGGATCTTGCCGTACCCGTCACGACACCGAGCCACGATGATTTCGCCACTGAAGTTGGCCGTGCCCGGGGCGGGGAGTGAAACTCGTGACATCGGTTGAATATCGCAGTGCGCTAACCCGCTGCGCCACCGCTCAACCCCTCGTGCATCATAATGCCTGTACCGTGCGCATATAACGGCGCAAGGAATTTTGCGGCGTACATGCAAATCGTGTGTTTACATAAAGCACTGCGGACGGGGAGCGGTGGCGCAGTGGTTCAAACACTACGCTGTGAACCCGGTGACAGCATATCTGAACCGGCCGCGAACCTCCCCTAGATCGACTCAGCCTTAAATTAGTACAGTACATATTCCGCTGTGTATAATGCGTCATTAGCAGGTAGACAAAGGCGCTCGGGCGTGGTTATGGTCACAGCACCCTCGTGCGTGCCGTTCCGGGCCTTAATAGATGCTCGCTAACCAGCACCTACCCCCAACGTGAGCTGCGCCTATTGCTTTGTTTGGGT